AAATTCGAAGTATGGTTGTTGCCATCATTATTTTGTTTAAGATTGAGTTACAGATTTTTCTGTAAACAATTGTAATTTTCAGTGTGAGCAATAATGTTTTACTGGTTGCAGGTGTTAACTTATATTAGTGAAATATTGTTACAGTGACAATAATTTGACACTCTTGTTGCAGTAACTCTTTTTAACGAGTCAAGGCTATATCACTATAGATGTACTGAGTTATTGACTTGCTGTGTGTCCTCAATTTCAAACTGAAACATAATATGAGTATTATTCATCTGTCTATTTGATGTCATATTATGTTAATTCATTACAGTGTAAGCTGTAAGCTAAAAGTGGTAATGCGTATTGGATAAGTGTAATTTCAAAATCACAAATGAATAATCTAAACTTGATTGGGAAACATTTTACAAAACTATTCTTTTGTGCTTCTATGTTACTAGGGTAATAGTAAAGATGGTAATATACACACTGGAGCACTGCCACCATGGTTACAAGATGATGAAGAGAAAGTGCCTGTGATTGGTCCTACAGAAGAGGACTTCTTAAAACATTGTATGTTGTATAGATTGATAATCAAGTGTCTTGGTAATTTGTAAAGCTGAGCCTTGCAGTTTATTCCTGAAAATAAACTAATTAGACTAAGTATGTTGTTAATATTACTAATGTAAATTTTATTCATTTCTCATCAGTGGAAAGAGAACGAAAGCGAAAACTAAATCCAAATCGAGTTGGTGCTAACTTTGATCATAAAATACCCACCAATGATGAATGGCTACCATCATTTGGTAGAGTTTGGAATCAGGGGAGAAGATGGCAGTCTAGGTAAGGGGTTGTTAGATGAACATGACAGTAGTTATGTGGGTAGATTAAATATATGACAGTCTAGGTATGTGGTACATCAAGGGGTATGACAGTCTAGGTATGTGGTACATCAAGGGGTATGACAGTCTAGGTATGTGGTACATCAAGGAGTATGACAGTCTAGGTATGTGGTACATCAAGGGGTATGACAGTGTAGGTATGTGGTACATCAAGGGGTATGATAGTCTAGGTATGTGGTACATCAAGGGGTATGATAGTCTAGGTATGTGGTACATCAAGGAATATGACAGTGTAGGTATGTGGTACATCAAGGAATATGACAGTGTAGGTATGTGGTACATCAAGGGGTATGACAGTCTAGGTATGTGGTACATCAAGGGGTATGACAGTCTAGTTATGTGGTACATCAAGGGGTATGACAGTCTAGGTATGTGGTACATCAAGGGGTATGACAGTCTAGGTATGTGGTACATCAAGGGGTATGACAGTTAGGTATGTGGTACATCAAGGAGTATGACAGTTAGGTATGTGGTACATCAAGCGGTGTGGCAGTGTAGGTATGTGGTACATCAAGGGGTATGGCAGTGTAGGTATGTGGTACATCAAGGGGTATGGCAGTGTAGGTATGTGGTACATCAAGGGGTATGGCAGTGTAGGTATGTGGTACATCAAGGGGTATGACAGTCTAGGTATGTGGTACATCAAGGGGTATGGCAGTGTATGTATGTGGTACATCAAAGGAAATGACAGTGTATGTATGTGGTACATCAAGGGGTATGACAGTCTGGGTATGTGGTACATCAAAGGATATGACAGTCTAGGTATGTGGTACATCAAGGGGTATGACAGTCTAGTTATGTGGTACATCAAGGAATATGACAGTCTAGTTATGTGGTACATCAAAGAATATGGCAGTGTAGGTATGTGGTACATCAAGGGGTATGACAGTTTAGGTATGTGGTACATCAAAGGATATGACAGTCTAGGTATGTGGTACATCAAGGGATATGACAGTCCAGGTATGTGGTACATCAAGGGGTATGACAGTGTAGGTATGTGGTACATCATGGGGTATGGCAGTGTATGTATGTGGTACATCAAAGGAAATGACAGTCTAGGTATGTGGTACATCAAGGGGTATGGCAGTGTATGTATGTGGTACATCAAAGGAAATGACAGTGTATGTATGTGGTACATCAAAGGAAATGACAGTCTAGGTATGTGGTACATCAAGCGGTGTGGCAGTGTAGGTATGTGGTACATCAAGGGGTATGACAGTCTAGGTATGTGGTACATCAAGGGGTATGGCAGTGTATGTATGTGGTACATCAAAGGAAATGACAGTGTATGTATGTGGTACATCAAGGGATATGACAGTCTAGGTATGTGGTACATCAATGGGTATGGCAGTGTATGTATGTGGTACATCAAGGGGTATGACAGTCTAGGTATGTGGTACATCAAGGGGTATGGCAGTGTATGTATGTGGTACATCAAAGGAAATGACAGTCTAGGTATGTGGTACATCAAGCGGTGTGGCAGTGTAGGTATGTGGTACATCAAGGGGTATGACAGTCTAGGTATGTGGTACATCAAGGGGTATGGCAGTGTATGTATGTGGTACATCAAAGGAAATGACAGTCTAGATATGTGGTACATCAAGCGGTGTGGCAGTGTATGTATGTGGTACATCAAAGGAAATGACAGTCTAGGTATGGTACATCAAGCGGTGTGGCAGTGTAGGTATGTGGTACATCAAGGGGTATGACAGTCTAGGTATGTGTTACATCAAGGGGTATGGCAGTGTATGTATGTGGTACATCAAAGGAAATGAGTGTATGTATGTGGTACATCAAGGGATATGACAGTCTAGTATGTGGTACATCAAGGGGTATGGCAGTGTATGTGTGTGGTACATCAAAGGAAATGACAGTCTAGTATGTGGTACATCAAGCGGTGTGGCAGTGTAGGTATGTGGTACATCAAGGGGTATGGCAGTGTATGTAT